AAAAAAAAAAAAAAGGAAGATAAAAGTTTGACTGAAATTTTACATAACTATGCAACAAATCAGACATGCATGATAAGAGAAAAACCCCACCAGCTTTTCTCTCCTTTCCACTTTCAGCAAAAATCACCACCACACAATGTTTAATTAGTTCAATGCACTTCTAAAGGCTATTAGAGTAATTGCCAAATTATTTTTTCGGTTTTGATATGAAGCCAACAGTTGACTCTATAGTGGAGCCAACCTTCTATATAAAACAAGTAAACCTACCATATTATCTGATTACTTAAATAACACTAATATAATTTTATTAATATTGTAGATTTATTTGTTGTATATAAACGGTTGGCTCCACTATGGAGCCAATTGTTGGTTTCGTAACAAAACCATTTACTTCTCTCTTATCATTGTCAATAAAGTACTACTCTTGAAAAGGACATAAAACCAAAGAAGATTTGTATGTCATTTATTGATTGATCTTAATTGTCAATAACAAGTTTTCTCAACTACCATAAAATATTTCCAAGTTGCATTTCCTCATGTTTGTTTCTCTCAAATGGTAGGGCATTTATGTCTTCCCAATTCCCATAGATTAGTGAAGAAAACCATTTGTGGTTTCCTTATATATGTCCAAATAATTTCACCTGATGTGTCTCCCTATATAGCTCATTTTATTTTATTTTTTAACATCATTGTTATTAGTATCTATCTCTTGTTTTAAGAATCGAATTTCATGTTTCAAAACCGTGTTCCAATTCATACTTCATTCTGTTGAACGAATGACACGTGTATGATAGCGACGTCATCATAGACGTATATATGTTATTTATCTAATTGAGTGAAACATTAATTGAAATACAATTTCTGAATATGAGATCGCTTATCATGTGGCATCATCAAGAATACGTGACATTTATCCTGTGACATAATCATGGATACAATTTTGTTTCGCAACGGTGTCCCAATTCATTTTCACTCAGTTCATAGAGCGAAACATGAATTGGTATACAAGTTCTGGTATTGGAGATTTTATCCCTAATATACTTGGTGCGAAAGGGAATTTCTTGTTCAAAATCGTACTCCAATTCATATTTCATTTAATAGGATGAATGACACGTATATGATAGTCATATATATCATCATGGACATGAGAGAAACATGATCATCAATTGAAATAAAATTTTGGTATTGGAGATCTTATATCCATCCATACTTGATGAAAAATGGATTTCTTTGTTCAAAATCGTGGTTCATTAATTCACATTTCATTTCATAAGATGAATGACACGTATATGATAGTAATGTTAATATATATATGATATCATCATAGACACGAGTCATTTAATTAATACAACAAAAAATGAACTGATAAAAATCTTAGATCTCTTATGACCCACACACACACTCTATATATATATATATATATATATATATATATAACACATTAACACATTCATTATTTTCAACACAAGCCAACCTTAAAAAAAAAATATATATATATATATATTTTCATATATACTACTCAACTCTACAATTTCGCCAAGAATGGGATTTTTATCAGGTCACACTAGAAAAAGACTCATAAGAACAATTTCGCCAAGGAAAAACACGGCAAGCTCGACTTTTAACGATGTCCCGAGAGGCCATTTTCCGGTTTACGTAGGCGAAAACTTGCAAAGACGGTTTGTGATCCCAATATGTTATCTTAATCACCCATTGTTTAGAGAGCTTTTGCGTTTGGCCGAAGAAGAATTCGGATACGAACATCCGATTAACGGAGGGCTAACGATACCGTGCAGTGAGGATTACTTCTTAAACCTCACATCACAACTCAGGTCTTGGCAAATGACAGAGTCCTTCTGATTTTTTTTTTTATTCTTTATTATTATTATTTTTTTAATGCAGAGTTTTTATTTTTGGTTTTTGGTTCATGATTCGAGGACTTGGAACTGAGATATATCAGATTAATTTACGCAATTTTTGTAACTATATTGTTTCTTGTAGATTTATTGATCTCTGTTTGTGAATTCATCATCAATGTATTTTTTTTTTTGGTACATAGAAGGAGGCCATAGGCCTTATAACTACGAAATTAAAACGTGGCGTGGGTAAGATGCCCCACGAATATCGTGGTCAAGCCATTCACCCAATCTTGGGGGTGGAGACGAAACTCGTTGTAGACCTAAAGGAGAGTCGGCAGCTAAGTTTGCCATCTGGTCAGCCGCAAAGTTGACTTCCCTATGCACGTGAGTAATCCGACAGTTCCAATGCCCACTAGCTAAGCTCTTAACGGCTCGAACTAGAGTCCCGTGGATGCCAAAGTCGTCTTGGGGACCCGTGATCATCTGTAGTACACACTGACTATCGATTTCTGCGACTACTTGTCGATATCCAAGGTCCCAGGCTAGTTGAAGGCCGTGAAGTAATCCCCAGAGCTCGGCCCCGATAATAGTGCCCATGCCAGCATTAAAGAAGAAGCCCTCTAGCCACACACCACATTCGTTTCGAATTAGGCCACCCGCACTACACAAGCCCGTGGCCCGACAACATGCGCCGTCTGTGTTTACTTTGACCCAGCCAGATTTCGGAGGGTGCCACTGGATTATACGGAGAGAGTGGATGGCTGCCCCTGCCCGTGCGTAGGCCTCAGCCGCCTTAATATAAGCTTGTGATCTGTGAAGGACTTCCGACATTCGAGCCTCACTGCCCAAGGTCCGGTTCTGAAACACCTGCTCATTCCTCCATTTCCATGAGCTCCAAGCTCCAAGAGCGAAGATGCTGCTCCAGTTTCTGTGTGGGCCCAGCCTTGATAGTTTGAGGTTGCTTTGCAGCCACGGACGAAGAGGCTGCTGGAAGAAGCTGCGCTCGCCACCAGGGGGAAGGAGTTTGCACCACATGTTCTTAGTGACGGGGCAGTCGCGCAGGACATGTAAAGTGGATTCGGGAGCACCGCAAATGTCACACTCCGGCGAGGCCGCTAGATGTCGTCGGGCCCTCTCGCCATTAGTGAGTAATCGTTCATGACCTGCTAGCCATAAGAAAGCGCGGACCCTTTGCGGTACTTGTGATCTCCATATCAGTTTCCAAAATGGACCATCCGACCCTCTCGTTTGTTGCGCCACAGCAGAATAAGCTGCGTGTGTAGAAAATTTCCGTCGTGGGAGGCACCCCAAATAAGGCGATCTTCCCCAGCCCGTTCCCTCGGAGGCGCGATTCCTGCAATACGCATAATGACTGTTGCCGGGAGAACTCCATGGAATGCACCCCAGTTCCAGTTACCACTCTCATCCACGTAATCTATCACTGTCA